CCCCATCCCTTCCCCCTCCTGCCCCAGCCCCCTCACCACCCTGATAGGTTCCTGGGTGCAGAGCCGGCCGCTGAAAACGCGGGAGCTGCGAGAGCCGGTCTTGTCGGCAGCCATCGCCACGAAGATGGCCCAGTTCCATGGCATGGAGATGCCTTTCACCAAAGAGCCCCACTGGCTGTTTGGGACCATGGAGCGGTGAGTCAGAGGCCTCCTCAGAGCTGCCGCACACTTGAGCTGAGCCCTTGTGCTGGCAGTTACCATGCTGGGCCGTGAATGGACGTGTCCTTGGCGCTGTCCAGCCCTCCAGTTGAGTGGAGCAGGGATCCCGGTGGCTGGCTTGGGTTCTCATGAACAGGCCTCCAGACGCTTACTAGACAAGCCACATGGTGGCAGGAAAATGGTCTGCCTGAGGGATAGATAAGAGGCGGTGGGGAGGCACTGGAGGAACTGTGTCCTGTTCTTGGGCTTCAGGTACCTAAAGCAGATCCAGGACCTGCCCCCCACCGACCTCCCCCAGATGAACCTGCTGGAGATATACAACCTGAAGGATGAGATGGGCAACCTCAGGTGAGTGCAGGCAGGATGAGGGTGGCGGATGGGAGCAGAAGAGTGCAGGCGTCGGTGCCAGGCCCCGAACAGCGTCCTCCCACCGTGAGCTGCCTCTGGCCCTCCTCTAGTCACTCCTGCTCAGGATCCACACTCCCCTGCCCCTGCAGGAAGTTACTAGAGTCTACCCCATCGCCAGTGGTCTTCTGCCACAACGACATCCAGGAAGGTAGGAGAAGGTGCCTGAGTCTCCCAACCCAAGGGGGAGGGGCCGGAGGGCCCTGGAGTGAGCAGTACCACACCGCATCTCCCCAGGGAACATCTTGCTGCTCTCAGAGCCAGAAAATGCTGACAGCCTCATGCTGGTGGACTTCGAGTACAGCAGTTATAACTACAGGTGTGAGTGGGAAGATGGCTTCCTACCAGTCTGCTCCCATACAGCCTGGAGAAACAGACCAGACCTTGATCTCTGCATCCTAGCTGCTAGGGCATTTGGGGACTGAATGTCTGCCTTATTCCTCCAGGGGCTTTGACATTGGGAACCATTTTTGTGAGTGGGTTTATGATTACACTCATGAGGAATGGCCTTTTTACAAAGCGAGCCCAACAGACTACCCCACTCAAGGACAGCAGGTATGTAGGGCCAGAGGCTGGGCAGCAGAGCCCCTCCTGTGAGGAAGGTGAAGTCTGGAAGGGCGTTACTGGGAAATACTCCACAGTCTTCATGATTCCTGACTCTTGTCTATTGATCTTAGCTCCACTTTATTCGCCATTACTTGTCAGAGGTGAAGAAAGGTGAGACCCTCTCCCAAGAGGAGCAGAAAAAGCTGGAAGAAGATTTGCTGGTGGAGGTCAATCGGTGAGGAAGGAGGAGCAGCATGGGGGCAGAGCGCAGAGGAAAGGGGGGGTTGGGGAAGAGGCAGACAGTCAGAATCATCAGGCTGCAGGTATGGTGCCAGGCAGACTGGAGCAGAGATGGAAGAGCACGTCTGAGGGTAGCAGGGAGGAACCGTTTGAGAGCAGGAAGAGTCAGGATGGCACAGGGGTTAGGACAGTGGGCAAGAAGTTGGAGCTTCAGGACGGACCTGCCTGGGGAAGGGGATCCAAGCAATGCCAAATGTGCTCTGGAATGCCCCTACATTTCCTGCCCCCAACCCACCCCCAGGTATGCTCTGGCATCCCATTTCTTCTGGGGTCTGTGGTCCATCCTCCAGGCATCCATGTCCACCATAGAGTTTGGTTATTTGGTAAGTATTCCAGAGGGTAGATGTGTTCGGTCGGGTGTGGGGAGCAGCAGGGGCTACATATTCTCCAGGCAGTCTGGGTAGTCCCTGGTGGCTGTGGGCAGACCAAGGTGGGTGTAGGTGCCAGTCCCCCTTCTCACTGCGGTGGGTTTCTTTCCCTAGGAGTATGCCCAGTCTCGATTCCAGTTCTACTTCCAGCAGAAGAGGCAGCTGACCAGCTTCCACGCCTCGTCCTGACCCCACCTTCCCACTTGGATTTCTCCTGGAGCCTCCAGGGCAGGACCTTGGGGTGGGCAGTAGAAGGTCCTGTGGACTGGGCTGAGCCCCCAAGAATGGCTGGGGCTGAAGAGGCCTGCCTCTCCCTGAGCTTGAGTAGGTTTCTGTGGGCAGCAGGCAGGAGCCCTTGCACTGTGTACTTAATAAACGAGCTTCTTCCTTCACACCCTGTCCTGCCCTACTCGGAAGCACAGAAAGCACCAGACCAAGGAGTACACACACAGAGAGACAAAGTGACCTCCCCTCTGCTCAGTGCTCTGGGCCTGAGAGTCCAATCTGCCAGTCGGGGTCCCTATCCCTACCCCTCCTTTGGCTCCAGCTTAGTAGTACAGAATACTAGGATTTGGGCGAAGACGACTGAAGAGTGACAGGGTACAAAGAGGGCACTGGGGTAGGGCTGCCAGCCTGGAGCACCAGAGATCTGGGAATAGCGCCCAGCTGACGCACCGGTGACCTTTTACCTACATTCGGCTATTTTTAGTCCTAACGCCACCAGCCTCACGTGAGACCCTTTGCCCCCACCCAGACCTCTGAGCAACCTTCAGGGTGAAGCTCTGCCCGTTCCCACCGCTGAAGGCTGGGGTTCTGGTTCCCGCCCTGCATCTGTTTTCCCGACCCCAGTTTGGGAGTGGCTATCAGGTTCCCGGTGAGGGCAGGGCGTGGGTGGCCAGTCCCGAAGGACGTAGGGACGCAGGCCAGAGTGGCCGGCCCACACACGGACAGCAGCGAACCCGAGCTGTGAGTAGGGGCCAGTGAAGGGTGGCGCAAAGCTCCCGGCCCCGCGCAGGGGTGAGGAAGGTGCCGGGGTCCCGCGAGGTCGGGCGTGGGGGCGCCTGAAACCTGCCTCTGTCCAGGCCGGCTCGGCTTCCTAGGACGCCTCTCCCACGCCCGCCCGTTCGCTGAGGCACCCGCCCCGAGGCCGCCCTTTGCTGTCCTTGGGGCTCCTGGACTTTTCAAGGTCCCGACCCATGCCCCACAGTGGCTGGGCCCTCCCAGATG